AGGGATTGACTCGTTAGACGAGACACTAACTCTCTCGCGCTCGCACTCTAGACGAGGCACACGCACACACTGACTGCGGACCAGCAGGGTTTATATAGCTTCCGACTTGTGTTCGAGAACATTCTTGGCTAAACCGATAAGAATTCGTTCCAGAAGGTTCTCCATCCGTCCATATCATATCGCCAAATTGGCAATTTCTCGCCAAATGTGGCAACTTTGCCTTCCCTTACCATTTTATGGCAACCCTAAAACTGCTTTCCGAAGAAGCTATCTTACCGCGCCTGTACATTTCGTAACAGTATTTTCCTGTACTTTTATTTTAATTTATAGTGTATACAAATTTAATACATTAACAAATGTATTAAAGAATAAGTACATATTCAAATTATGCACATCCTAAATTCAACATTCATATTAAATTGTTTTGGGAAAAAAATTTATTTTAAGTAGTTTTATCTGTACTGATATGAATGTCAATTTCTAATAGTTTTTAGAATATCGTGTATAATAAAGTTAAATTAAATTCTTGTAAATATATAAACGCATGATTTATAATTAGTTATCAGATTTTTTTAAGTGATCTGCTTTTAAATAGTACATCAATTTTGTGTACTTTTTATTCAGATTTAAAAAGTATTTGGTTTTCGTTTTATGTGATTACGGCAAAGCCTCATGAGCTACCTGCTTAAGATGGGGCTTGCCTTCGTGGAAGACTTCCTAAAGAAAACTAGCTCGTATACACATTATACATGTTTAAAAACCGCGAAAACACCCATGCAGACAGCCAGTTCGCGGGATTCGAACCTCGGACTGAACTAGCTAGCAGTGTTCAGCGATTTTTCTGTTCGGGCACTCGTGGGATCGATTTAAAAAGACTATAAATAGGAGTATGTACTGCAATTTCTTTCACTGCATACTTTAATATATTTATAATACAGTGTTATATATAGATAGAGTCATTTATTTATTTAAAACAGGTTTTGTGTGCTTTAAACTTTTATGCTTCTGGAAATTATCAGAGATATGTTGGGAATGACAGATATATTGGTAATGACGCCCATGCACTCAGCCAGTTCGCGGGAATCGAACCTCGGACTAAACAACCAGCGTTCAGCGGTTTTACCGCACGGCCGCTGGTGGGATCGATTTTAAATGGGTGTAAATAGGATTGTGTGCTGTAATTTCTTTCACTGTATATGTTAATATATTTATAATACATTTATATATATATATATTGAATGAACTGAAATTCATTCAAATCTAAAATTTTTTCCTAATGCTTGCGCAATAGCTGCAAAGTAAGATAATAATAATAATTTATTTACTAAAGAAATATTTTCTGTATTTCAAAATCTGTGATACTAATATTCTTGTCTTCAACAAGTAAATTAAGAGTCGGGAATGAAGCAAGTTTCTTTACTTCAACCTTATTTCTCCATAATTTGAGTTTATTTTTAAAACATGTAATTTTTTCAGTTAATTCAATAATAGTATGATTACGTCCTTGCATAGACGTATTTAGATTATTTATTTCAAACAAAATATCTGCCAAATAAGCAACTTGAGTAATCCACTTCAACTCGGAGAATTTAGATGCTAATGGGTGTTTCTTTTCTCAAAAAAAATTCGACTCCTGTCCGCAATGATAATACTCTTTGAACAACTTTTCCCCGGGACAGCCATCTAACTTCAAAGTAATATAATAAATGTTCGTATTCTGCACCAAATTCTGAACACAGTTCGCGGAAAATTCTACGGTTAAGAGCTCTTGATTTTATAAAATTGACTACCGTAACAATTTCATCCAAAACGATACTTAATTCGGGCGATAAATTTTTTGAAGCAAGATTTTGTCTATGTAAAAAAACAATGAACCGATAAAATTTGTGAATTCATTTGTTTTGCTCTTGTCGAAAAACCCTTTTGAGATGCTGTCATGGCAGCTGCACCGTCGGTGCAAATACTGAAACACTGATTCCAATTTAATCCTTCTTCTTTAAAAAACGAATCGACAATGAGAAATATATCTTCACCTCTAGTTTTTGTTGACATTGATTTGCAAAATAAAAAAATCCTCCTGTATATCTGTTAACCCTGGATACCCACGTAAACCATCGTAAAACCATTAGTTGAGCATCGTTACTTACATCTGTCGTTTCATCCAGTTGAATACTAAATAAACCAGCAATTTTTATAGCAGAAATAAGTTGATTCTTAATATCAAAACGACATATCATTAATTCGTAAACGAATTGTATCATTTGATAATGGTACCTTTTGTAATTTCTTTGAAATTTCATCTCCGCACATGATACGTGCCATGTCAATGGCAGCAGGTTTATAAGTTTTTCAGCAATATTATGGGGTTTCTTTTGTCTTGCAATATGCCAAGCCACATAAAAAGAAGCAAGTGTAGCTTGTTTGGTAGGAATTAGAAAACTATTACTACTTGGTGCATCTAAACGCTGTCTTTTTAAATCGGCTTCTTTTCTTTCGAAAAAAGTACGATCTTTCCCTCAAAGGAATAATTTTTATGTTTGCATCAAAATGTCTTTTAAGTTTGTTCGGTTTTCATCGATTCATTACTTAGTATTTCACTGCACAAGACGCATTGCGGCTTGTTCCTTCCTCCATCATAAATACAAGTAAAACCCTAATTCTAAAAATGCTTTTTGTATTCACGTTTTGCCATTTTAGGGTGATTACAATTTTACAATACGCACTGCAGCTTGATCACTCCATTTTAATAAACAGACAAAAATTGTTTCTAAAATGATTGTATTCACGTTTCATGATTATTACACATTCCACTGTTATTCACAACATAATACACAGAAACGAGTTTTTGACAAAGAACTTGCAGCGGAGTGCAACTTTTTTACGTAAATATCATTAATATGCAAACAGAAATTAACAGAATACAATTTTCCGTTATTACTTCTTTATTCACACGAGTTAAATCGATAATATCTGCTTGCATGTTTACAACCAACGGAAATTCCCCGGTTTCTTAAAAGTCGAACACCTCATAGAAGAAAGCTATAAGACAGAAATTGGATGTCACTTCTAGAAGGCCATTCGCGAAGAGCGGTAAAACCAATGCATTGTTTTAGAGAATAACTTGTATTAGAAAAAAACTCTTCTAGTAGGTGTTGGTATTACTTATTTTTGTATATTAAAAGTTTTTTTTATTTTGATTTAGTGCGACCCAAAAAATATGCTTCGCGACCCAAAGGTTAAGAACCGCTGGTTTAAATGACTGATTTGGAGGAGGGGGGACAAAATCTTGTTTACATTTTTTGTACTTTTTAGAATACACTTAGTTTCAAAGATGTGTTTTGCACAATCAAGACTTTAATTCATTCCTCTTTGAAAATTTTCGTCTGAGAAAAGGTAATAAAAATTAGGCAGAAGATTTCTGTGTAGAAAATTTAGACATGAAATAAGTTAAAAGCAATTAAATCAATTATTAAATGAACAATTAATCATATAATACTGGTTATTAAGAATTTTGTATGCCTGTTTATTTTTTTATGGAAATATTTGGCATTTTCAGGACACAAAGAACTTTGAAATATTAGTACAAACACATTAATCAATTAAATTGAAATAAATAATGGGATGTAATTTAAAAGAGAGAAATAATTTAATGTAAGAGATTTAGATTTAAAAATTTGCACACACAAATGATTTATCAGATTTTGGTAGGTTTTATTACATAAATAACTTTGATTTTGAAATATGACATTTGAACCTATAAACCTATGTGGATACTGAAAACGTGATGAATATATAAGAATATTATCATTTTCAGTAAGTTTTCTTATTGAATAATAAATTCTGACAATCCTATGCTATAAGAATAGGGTCTAAGTTTGCATAAAAATTCCTCTGTTAAATAAAAGAATTTAAGAGCATTTCTGTAGCCTTTTTGTCAAGACACTAAAGATTTTTTAACTAATTAATCGTCCTCGCTTGCAATTAGAACCATCATTAAATCCCTATTTTATCTACTCATTTCCTGAACATTATCATGTATATAGATTGACCTCGTCTTTGTAACTGATAATTATTACTTGCAAATTATTCTCTTGCTGGTGAACTATTAACAACATTCACTCTCAATACTGCCTGCCTTACGGAAATCGGCGTAAAATGCTGGTACCTAGGCTAATTGTGCGCATGCGCGAACGTAGGTGGTGTGAATAGCCTGTCAGATATTCGCACCGTCGGTGCGATTAGCCACTACGTCAGAGGTCAGACTCGCTATCCCTTCTGCTGTCGAGTGAACAGAGAATCCCGATTGGTTTTCCGATATCGATCTCGACCGGTAGAGTGTCCAGACTAGACCCTCTCCCCCCCAAAGATCGTATTATATTCTCGTGTGTCAAGACGTAAGGTAGCCAAAGCATTTGTCTAGGAAACATATTTAACTCATTAGTGTTTCAAGGTCATATGTTAAAGTATCCACAGGGAAAGCCATTTCGAATGTGAAAAGGTGGTACTCTGAGTTAAAAAAAAAAAAAAAAAAAAAAAAAAAAAAAAGAGAGAGAGCAATTTTATATCTCCCGTCCTGCTGGGCCGATTGACGAAATTCATTCATCTCTCAAACACGCGACTTAGGATATATATTAGATTCATATATATAGCATTGTTCTAGCATAGGTAATTTGGCGCAAAATCGGACTTTTTCTAAAGTAACATACCAAGTTTTTCCATATTTCGATTTTACGCCTCAAATTATGCCTAAATATTAAATTTTGTAAAATTTGGTGAGAAATTTACGGAGAAATTCAAAAATTTATCTTCGCGAATTTTTTCAGTTTGCGCCAAGAATAATTCACTTGGCGAACTTCTATGGCATCTTATTTTCCTTTCCCTTCCATTGTGCAGGAGAGGAAAAAAGTTACTTCATTCCTACCTTTTTACATTGTGCATGAGCAGAAAAAAGTCACATCGTTCCTACTTCCAAATAATGTCGTCATTCCCTAACACTGATTTCATTTTGGCGTTTGCATTTCATTTTCGATCAGTGGATTTTATCTCTCATGAAGTGAAGTAAAGGAAGTTGCGATTTGAGTGGAAATTTCGTGTGTGTTGTTTTGCTTTTGCGAATAGGGAGTGAAATTATATTTAGTGAACTAGGTATAATTTTAGATTTAATATAATACGTGTTTATATAGGTAAATTTTACAATGAACCGACTATTCGGAAAAGCGAAGCCTAAAGAACCTCCACCAAATTTAACAGATTGTATAGCGAATGTAAGTAATCATTTTCGCTGGAGAATGCCTTGCGTAATTGATATCAATTGTGTCTTAATTTATACATATATATTTTATTTATGATTACACGCAGGTAAAAAAAAAAAAAAAAAAAGACAGAATTTGTTAAGAAGTAGAACAATACCACTATACTTTTCCTTTTCCCCCTTCTTGAAGTTTAAAAAATGAGAAAAAATGCTTATGTTATTGCCTCCGTTTATGGTATACCTTATCCCGTAGAGGAACAGTCGTTGTTTCGATTTTACTTTGATGATGTTTAATTTCATTATCAAGTAAATCAACGCGATTGATGCAATATAGTTTTGATTTTTCAACTTTACTTAGTTTCTTTTAAAAAATGATGTTATTTAAATTTTGAGGCCAAATCAAACTGCTAATAGTTTGATTTGGCTTCAAAACTGTTAAATAATTTATTCAATCAAATTACATGAAATTCGATTTAAATTAAAAATATTTTATGATTATATGATTTATATTCAAACTGAGTAGCTAGATTTAAATAAAATAATGGTAATAATAATAATAATAATAATAATAATATAAAATGGGAATGGGAATGCTTGACATACTTTATGCCACCATTCTTATTTGTTGTGAAATATTTATTAATATTTTTAGAATTGGTTTATGAAGGAATATATTTAATGCTTCTCTACTTAATATTGTAGTTAATAAACAAAGAAATGAATTTTTCAAAAAAATTAAAGGAAAAATATGATGGAATTGCTTGAAATCATATCGGAAGCTAATGCAAAAGACCAAATTAAAAATGCATTAAAGTAACTATCATCTATAACTTTAAAATAGAATCATTTTTTACAAAAATCAGATTTCTGTGTAGAGATATGTAATTTTCATATTTAAGTTGATATTTCAGAAAATATTGAAAACTTCATTAATAGAAAGTTAGGTGTAGTGCTATTCCTGAAAATAGTTTTCTTCTAATTGCCTAACAGAAAGTATTAGATTGTATAGAGTAAATTTTCAGAAAATGTCAACAATTTCCATCTGCTAAAGTACAAATCTCACCAGGTTTCAAATCTCAGAGACCTCTTAGACAAAAACTACGCAGACGAATTTCATAAACATATTATTACTGACAATTTAACAATCGTTCAAAACCAGCCTTTAAGAAATTTAATGAAAAAAGGCATCAAATTTAGACCAGTACTGAAAATTGGCAAAAAAACAGTTTAAAAAAAGTCTAGAGTTCATAGCTAAAACTACAAATTAAATATCCCAAATTCTACCTTTATAGTTTGGAAACATGAAGTGTTAGAAGAACTGAAGCAAAGAATTTGAAGGATTGAATTTAATGGCAATTTATCATGGAGTTTTCTCAATCCTCTATTGCAAGATTTGAAACAAAAATTTGTAATAACCAAAATTGACAAAGCCGGTAATAATTTCAGCATTATTTGAAAATTTTCTTATGTCTGGCTAATTAATACTGAACCGAATAATGCCATTACTTACAAACTTACCAGTACATAGAAAAATATCATTGCAACAGGGGCGTAGCTAGAGGGGAGCAAGGGGGCATCTGTTCCCCAGCGCAAACTCCAAGGGGTGTCAAACTGATGTTAGGACATTTTAGAATTAAATGTTTTCCATCCTTGGCAAGCAGTAGGGGGTGCGAAATCTACGGTTGTCCCTGGGCGCTGAAAACCCTAGCTACGACTCTGCATTGCAAAAAAGCTAAAAGCAAAATTTCACAACCATCTAACTACAATAGATTTGCAAATCTGTATGCTCTTTCTAAATTCCAGAAATCACCACTCAAATTTAGATTTATAGCAAATGGTACAAATAATTTATAAAAAGAATATAGATTACATATTTGCAATTAAACTTTAAAAAAAATCTGTGTTTTAATTCATCATCTATTTAACAAGCAACACAACTATTGTTGGATTATTTATAATAATGCTTCAGTTCTCAACAAATTTAAAAGTGTAGAAATCAAGAACAATAACTGCTATGACTTTTAAAACTTTTATAATTCCCTACCATTAGAAGAAATTTTTACTAGTTTAATGCAACTCCCACAACCTTTTCCTGACATGCTTAACATCCTTTGAATTGAAAGATGGAAAACTTACCTGAATTGTGCTTTATTTAATAACTACATTTAAGTCAATAATAAGATCTTTCAGCAGTTGAGAGTAATATCAGTGGGAGCAAACAGTTCTACACAAATATGTAACCTATTTCTTTTTGCTTATGAATATAAATTCCAAATAAGTTTGAATAAAAATGAATTAAAGTTATTTGCAAATACATTTAGATACATTGATGATATTATAACTTTCAATAATAATTCTGCTTTTGAACAATTCAAAATTTACCCAAATAGTTTAACATTTAATAAAACTAATATGAATCAAGATACTATTGAATACCTAGACCTGCTCATAATTAAACCCAGCAAAATTAAATTATATGATAAAAAGAGGAATTTCCAGTGTAATACTATTAAACTAATTAATTGGAACTCTAATATCTCTAGAAAAGTAATAGGTAACACTTTTTATAGCCAAATAATCGAAATAAAAATTATATGTACTGAAATAGAAGATTTAAAGGAAGAAATAATAAAGCTAATTAATGTTCTGTAGTTAATAACCAAATCCCAACATAATTTATTAATTTATATATTAAAAAGGCAGGCATTAACTTTTCTGTATAATATTTTGATTCTTTATGGTATAACATTACCTTAAACCTTACCTGGAGAATTTTGAAGAGTTAAAGGATTATCTTGTAAATATTAATTTGTAAAAATGTGTATTTAATCAATACTGGATTCTTTCCTTTTATTGATGAAGAGCCATCTTTTTTCAAAAGTCTCAATTATAACCCAAATTGAGTGAAGATTTTTATCTTTTTCTAATTTTCCTTACTTTTGGCCAGTATTTAGTAAAGTTTTCATTAAACCTTTTGAAATTCAGTTTTAATAAATTAAAACTATTATAATAAATTTCTTACTTTAATAAAAACATTTCAACAATTTTTTTCAAAATTTAAATTAAATTTATTTAATTTTACTTCAAAAATTTTTGATTGATCTTTGAATTATGGTAACTTGGCGAAAATTTGGCGACCAACTCTGCTACAGCAACCCTCTATTTTTTTTTCGCCGCCATTTTGTCTTCACGAAGTAAAGACATGTTTCTTTTCTTTTTATTTACTAAACACTTTTTCCAACAATCTACTAGCTGAATTACACTTATGATAGAAATTTTATGTACCAAAACTGCTTAATCATGACAAATATTAACTGCAAAATTGGGAAAAAGTGCACAATCGCAAACTCCTTGCGCGTTTTTCAGAATAGCACATACACATAAACCATTTACACGTCGAATTATTTTTACTTAAAAAAACATCCCAGAATTGCACAAAAATGGCATTGCACACATTCTTAACTTTATCCATCTACACTGCTATTTTCTCATAAATTACAAAAATTACAAAATAATATTTTGATTCTTTATGGTATGATAACATTACCTTAAACATTACCTGGAGAATTTTGAAGAGTTAAAGGATTATCTTGAAAATATTAATTTGTAAAAATGTGTATTTAATCAATACTGGATTCTTTCCTTTTATTGATGAAGGGCCATCTTTTTTCAAAAGTCTCAATTATAGCCCAAATTGAGTGAAGATTTTTTATCTTTTTCCAATTTTCCTTACTTTTGGCCAGTATTTAGTAAAGTTTTCATTAAACCTTTTGAAATTCAGTTTTAATAAATTAAAACTATTATAATAAATTTCTTACTTTAATAAAAAACATTTCAACAATTTTTTTCAAAACTTAAATTAAATTTATTTAATTTTACTTCAAAAATTTTTGGTTGATCTTTGAATTATGGTAACTTGGCGATTTTTTGGCGAAAATTTGGCGACCAACTCTGCTACAGCAACCCTCTATTTTTTTTCGCTGCCATTTTGTCTTCACGAAGTAAAGACATGTTTGTTTTCTTTTTATTTACTTAACACTTTTTCCAACAATCTACTAGCCGAATTACACTTATGCTAGAAATTTTACGTAACAAAACTGCTTAATCATGACAAATATTAACTGCAAAATTGGGAAAAAGTGCACAATCGCAAACTCCTTGCGCGTTTTTCAGAATAGCACATGCACATAAACCATTTACACGTCGACTTATTTTTACTTAAAAAAACATCCCAGAATTGCACAAAAATGGCATTGCACACACTCTTAACTTTATCCATCTACACTGCTATTTTCTCATAAATTACAAAAATTTGCACGAAAGTGCAGGAAAATTTTCTTAATCTTTAAACTCGGTAAAAAGCACATATACGAAATTACCTGATCGCGAAAAAGTATATACTCTTTTCAAGGATGAACATTTCCACGTATAAAATAAATAAAATATCCAAAAGCTTTTACCTCTAAATTATCTATTATATTATAAACGTCACCAACGAATTTATACGAAAACATTAAAAATAGTTACAAATACTTAGTGTCAAATATTTTAATTATTTCCATACACGTTTACTTTAACTGAAACGTATACCAAATTCCTACAAACATAAAATTCACAAAATAACTATCATTTAATTAAAACATCACTAAACCATGTACACGTCGACTTATTTTTACTTAAAAAAACATCCTAGAATTGCACAAAAATGGCATTGAACTCTTCACTATATCCATGTACACTGCTTTTTTGTTAGAAATTAGAAAAATTTTCACGAAAATGCATGAAAATTTTGTGAATCTTTAAATCCGGTAAAAAGAACATATATGAAATTACCTGATCGCGAAAAAGTATATACCCTTTCCAAGGATGAACATTTCCAGGTATAAAATAAATAAAATATCCAAAAACTTTTACCTCTAAATTATCTATTATATTATAAACATCACCAATGAATTTATACAAAAACATTAAAAATAGTTACAAATACTTAGTGTCAAATATTTAAATTATTTC